TGAGAGAGAGAGAGAGAGAGAGAGAGAGAGAGACCACTGGTTTCTGTAAATAGAGAGAGAATACCTGTTGCAGTGCATAGAACTTTGTTAAGAGAACAGTGCTATTTGGGGGGAACGGTATCATTGAGAAAGCAGTGGCCGTACAACAGGCACTGGAACTGACCCTGAATCTCCTCATGAAAACCCTAGTGAAAGTGTGCTGGATGTCATGCGCTAGTATAGCAACACATAAATAAAAACTACAGGCTTTTCACAAATACGAGAGTTCTGGTGAAAAACATTTTTCGCTTTATATATACTATACATCCAGAATTTGCCCACAATTTTTGCATGCAACTGTGCAACACATCCAGTGCTTCCCACACATACCTGTGCTCTCATACTGTATATGATTAGTGAACTGTTGCTGAAGCACTCATCGCAAGAATAATATCTCATTTTATATGACTTTTTATATATTCTTAAAGAAAGTGATATTCACTTGAAATTGAATTCTTTTGAATGTTTAGAAATTGAATTTTATATTATTTGTGATCGCATTGAATGAAACTTTCATATCCATTCATTCGTATAAATAATTTTTTTTTGATTAAGCTTCTTGTTGAAAGTCACAAGTTGCGACATATAAGTTATCATTAATTGTTAATACCTATGTCTTGGGGAATTGGATCTCTCATATTGAATATCTGCCTTCAATATTAACAATAAATAGTATTTTTCTGGATATAAAAAAGTAATACAATTAGATACCTATAATGGATATAATGCCAAATCCGTCCAAATTAAAGCAATTTTACGAGAAAAAGTCGGTTTTCATTACCGGCGCCTCAGGTTTCATCGGAAAGGTATGTCTAAAAATAACCCATAAATCATATAATAACTCATACTGTATGACTCACATACCTGTCGCCTATGCTATAGATCCTACTACTGAAGCTACTGGTGTCGTGTCCGGACATCGGGCACATCTACGTACTAATGCGGCCCAAAAACGACGTGTCCAGCAATAAGCGACTGACAGCTATGCTAAACGCACTGCCCTTTCAGTACGCACTCAATGATGAGGACCCGTGCAAGAAGAAGGTGATCCCCGTCGAGGGCGACATCACTCGCGAGGGACTGGGATTCTCGGACACTGACCGCCAGACCCTCTGCCAACACGTGTCGGTCGTGTTTCACTGCGCGGCGAGTGTTAAGTTTGATGCCCCACTCAAGTGAGTATACATACCCGGCCTACCAGACCTTGCTCACGGAGATAGGAGTAGCAATTTGTACATAAATACTTTGATTATAATCTGAGTTAATAGCACTTAACTCGTGTTTTGTGATCAATAGATATTTATATGAGTTTCTTGTGTTCAAACATTTAATATGACTTTTATTATTGTTATCTATTTATCTATCATATAATCTGTTGATTGATTTTTACCTTTTTTCTGCTACCAAGTATATAAACACGACTGACCTTTATTTTATATTTCTCTAAATCTATTCATTATTTTATTCCATGTCCTAAATCCTGAGGCGATCCACAAAAACAGTGTCTTTCCTGTTGGGGATTACTCCTTATGCTCTCTCTCTCTCTCTCTCTCTCTCTCTCTCTCTCTCCTTCTCTTTCTTAATCTATTTATACCATTATTTTCTTCACATTCACTTGAATATCAATATCAATGCTAATTAAATGGCCAAAACATGTCTGTGCTCTCACTCTCATCAGTGATAATTACAAATGCTTATTATGAGTACAAATACCAGTGCATGTGAACAGTTGTCACTGATTTAATTTACCAGAAATTAGTATGCCGGTGCACTTAATTTACACTCTCATCCAAAAAACTCACTTTCCATACCAATGACAGTCCCCCTCCCTCTAGAAGTGTAGGCAATACTTATCAAAAAATTTTCAAACAAGTTTTTATATTAATTATTCATTAATTTAATTTAATAGTTTAATAGCTATTAACAAATTAGAGTAAATGGTTGTCGAGAATTATTATAAATAATTAAAAGTGTACTTAATTTTGGTTTCTATTGCTATGAGATAAATGTCGAGAGAGAGAGAGAGAGAGAGAGAGAGAGAGAGAGAGAGTTTATGAGAAAATATAAATTCAATGACAGTTCAACTGAATTTGACGTAAAATCCAATTTCTTACCAAAAAAAATTATTTTATTTTATTTCAAATCCAATTTCAAAAAATCTTAATTTCGCTTAACATAGATTCAAAATTCAAGATTTAAAAAATGTGTAAAAATTGTGTAGTGTATAAAAATTTATATTTCACAGTCAATTGAATCGAATATAATATAAGCACTAGAAACACAATATAATGATAATACAAATGTAAATATATTAATATTTCTTAAAATAGCACTAAATAATTAATTTTAAATATTTTATATAACTATTTTAAACAGTAATCACTGTAATAAAAAAATATTTGTTTATATCATGCAATTTACTGCCAAAACAAATACTTATTATCTATTGTTTTAAACAAATTAGAAAAAGAGTTTTTACTTTATATACAGATATTTCATACTATCTTATATAAATTGCTTAATTATAAATACTTATATAAAAAATCTCTTATATCTATTTGCTTAACAGGGAAAGTCTTGACTACAATGTATTCGCCACCAAACAAGTGATCGATTTGTGTAAACAAATCAAAGACTTGTCGTGTTTTATCCACTGCTCGACGGCTTACAGCCATTGCCAGCGCCAGGACATCGACGAACAGTTTTATAAAGTCACTACCAATCCATCGGAATTACTTAAGATGGCCGAGTATGTGTCCCAAAAAGTTTTTAATTAAAATCATTAATTACATTGAAACATAAAAAACTATAATTTATACTATACATAGGGCACGAGTTTGTACACTATTGAGAATTAATGTGAATTACCATAAATTAGTGCATGCCTTGTGGTGTATGGTATTGAGACTCATTTTAATCAACAGATTTTAGACATTTTTATTGCTTATAAAAAAACATACATTTAATTAAATGTTTATACAATTCGTATTGAAATCACATTTTCATTCACTTTCACACACACTATGAACGCGTCAATGAAACAGATGGTTACCATCGGCGACATTGGATCAGTTATCGCTACATCTCATGGAAGGCCGGCCCAACACCTATACCTATACGAAAGCGTTGGCCGAGCAGCTGGTGCTCCAGGAGTGCCAGGAGTTGCCCACAGCTGTGGTCAGACCCGCTATCGTCGTGAACGCCGAGTGCGAGCCTAAGGCCGGTTGGATCGACAACGTGAACGGCCCGTCAGGCATCAGCATACTGGCCGCCCTGGGCATCTTGAGGGCTGTCAACTGGAACTACTACGCCAAGACTGACTTCGTGCCCGTCGATAAGGTGGCCAACGCTATGATAGCTGTGGGTTGGGCTACCGGTACCAAGAAAAGGTATGTTTGCCTATTGATAGCCCACTATACCTAGTAATAACACCCACCTATTGCTTATGTTTAGGAATTAATTGCATAAATGCTAGTAAAATATGTATCACTAGTGCAGTGAATGTTTAAAAACCCATTACACAAATCCCTACCCAATTGCCCCTACACACTTAAAAAACTTTCCAATTCATGATAATCTCGTGTAATGATTGTATGTAATGTTGAAATACAAGTCTAGGAGTTAATGATGAAAACACTTAAATGAGAGCCAAAATCCTATTGACATTGAATTTGAAGTGTGTTTTTCATACCTGTATTACACATAAGCAGTGAAAGTGTGAGTGAAATAAATGAAAATCACAATTTTTCACCTTTTTATTATGCTTTGAGCTAATTATCCGATACAATGAACTTGGGATTAATCTATCATTGATTTCCATTTTCTTAATGTTATTGATATGTGTTTTTACTTCATTTTATGAAATCAACTAATTTTGGAGCTCTTCCCGTAGTATTGAAATTGAATGTCAATAATAATTATACATTTTTTGCGCAAAACATCAAATTCAATTTATTTTTAAAGTCAATGTCAAGAATATATTTGTAATGAATTCAATTCTGTATGTCTTAATTATTTTTATATTGTTTTTCTTGTATATTTATATAATTAATTTAGTAAATTGTATTAATATTTAATGAGCTAATAGTTTAATAATCATAAATATCAAGGAGACTTGTAGAGTATAATACTATACTTGTTTAAATAATAATAATTATATTAAATTTTCCAAATTTAGTTTTAGTATAGTCATTAATTATACTAGATTTAAGTATATTTTTGTGCCGGTGTACTATTTACTAATTATATTTTATCAAAAATCAGAAAATGATTTGAATTGTAAATATCGAGTCACGTAAACACATAATTTAGTTATTTATTTTATTTTTCTAAACATATAAATTGGATTTCACATATCACTTATAATTAAAACAAATTTTTGCCCACATGTTTACGTCATATGAGCTTGAAAATAAGATT